CAGCCTCCTCAGCCTCCTCAGCCTCCTCAGCCTCCTCAGTCTCCTCAGCCTCCTCAGCCTCCTCAGCCTCCTCAGTCTCCTCAGCCTCCTCAGCCTCCTCAGCCTCCTCAGCCTCGTCAGTGTCCTCAGCCTCATAAGGTTGTGTCTGTGTTTCTTTGTCTTTTCTCTGTGTCTCTCTGTGTTTTCTCTGTGTTTTCTCTATCTTTTCTCTGTGTTTCTCCCACATGTGCCCCTGAAGCCTCCGTCTTCCGCTCAATCAAAGAGAATGATGAAACCAGAGACTGACGCAATGAAAGGCCGGTGTTGTCTTGAGCATAATGTGTCGGCTCCGTTGTCATGGTAATCTCCATTGTTGTCGTGGTAATCTCCATTGTTGTCGTGGTAATCCTCCTGAGTCACATCTGCAGAAAGGAAACAGTTTCTGTCGAAGCCAAAACGTCCGTCAGAGAAAAACAAAAGAACGTTAATGTCTCTGAATCATCGGAAGCAGCTCTGGGATTATTATGGGAGACTTCAGGATTTCATCTTTAACCTTTAATGTACTTTTTAGAGGATTTTTGAAGATGTAGGAGCACTAAAAATAATACTTTTGTTTACCCCCTAGTTTTGTTGCAGCTTGACGGTAAAAAAGGCCTAAAATCCAGTGATAGAGACGCCCCAATGAGGTAGATTTAGACATTCTGATTGTGTTTTTAACCAAGCCACGCTGGAGCGCCTCAGTCAAATCAGTTCAATGTGTTTCTGTATCGCCCTAAATCACAACAGTATTTATCACAGAGGAGTTTGTGAAGTTGTCGATTCTCCAACAACAGATCAGAGAATCAGAAGAGTTAGAACAAAGGAAAGGCAGTGATAACACAGAGGAGGAGGAGAGTGACCACGGTCCATAAATGTCTCGTTCTGTGGAGGATGTCAGTCTGATGCAGGCTTTAGGCAAGACAAAGTTTATTTGTATGGCACAGATAATACTCAGGAAACTCAAAGAAAGTGCTGAACAAAACAAGAGAAACACAAAACATTAACAAAATCCTAAATAATCACAGTTAAAAAGAGTAGAAAAAAAGTCCTTCAGTTGTTGCGGCTAAACAGACTCATTTTTAATCTGGATTTGAACATGGTCAAAGAAGAGGCCTGTCTCACATTTTCAGGAAGATTGTTCCAGATTGTCCCTGTGCTCCTCAGAGTCCCAGCAGGAGGCCAGTCCCTGTGCTCCTCAGAGTCCCAGCAGGAGGCCAGTCCCTGTGCTCCTCAGAGTCCCAGCAGGAGTCCAGTCCCTGTGCTCCTCAGAGTCCCAGCAGGAGGCCAGTCCCTGTGCTCCTCAGAGTCCCAGCAGGAGTCCAGTCCCTGTGCTCCTCAGAGTTGCTTCATACGGCTCTAACATCTAATCTTTGGTGCGAGGCTGTGGAGAGACTTTAATTCATGATGACGTCCCCTTTAACGTGAGTTACAGTGTAGCGCCCTCTTGTGGATGGATCAAAGACAGAGCCAAAGAAGTGTATGACACATTTAAAGCCAGTTTATTCAGATTTACACATCAAAGAGAAAGCTGCAGTCACCGTCATGACACAAAACTAAAAACGGAACCCAAAATGCGAGACTGGGAAAATAATCCCAATTTATCCAAATACAACAGAACAGGATCATTTTGTATCTTTTTATCGAAAATAAAACAAAAGCTGCATTTTCTCAGTATGACACATGGAAGTCAGAAAACCTAAGTGTCCGACTGCAACACACATTTTTAGAGCACAACAACAAGCGCACAACAACACGCAAAAACATACACAGTCAAAATGTTTTTATGTTTCTGGCTGTGGAGGAGAGATGCTGCTGTGTCTAGTCTCTAGTAGCTCTCCACCCCCTCCCAGTAGCTCTCCAAAAGATTTAGAAATGAACAAATCAAATAATACACTTAATATTTCAGATTATGACATTCATTCCCATTATTTATGATTGTAAAACTTTCTGCACTTGTCTTTATCATCCCGGGAAAGTACTTCTCTGTAACGGTAAATGTGCACTTTATTAATCCCCGTGAGGAAACTCATCTGCATTTGACCCAGATCCTGATGTCACTAAGGCTTACGTCTGGAGCAGTGGTCGCCGTAGTAACAGCGCCCGGGACCCATCTCCAGATGTTGATGCTCGGCTCGGTCAGGGCCGGAGCTGGAGGATTTATCCTATTGAGCATGTTTTTAGTGGTAGGGGAAACCGGAGTACCTGGAGGAAACCTACGCAGACACGGGGAGAACATGCAAACTCCACTCAGAAAGGCTCTGTTCCGATCGGGATTCGAACCCAGGACCTTCTTGCTGAGAGAAGCCACCGTGCCGCCCTAGAGCCTTGTTCAGACTTGGATATGAAAGGTTTTGTATTCGTTCCTTTGGGTCCTGAATGACCCGGGACCCGGGACCAGGGGTTGGGAACCACTGCTGTAAACACCTCATTTCATGTCTACAGATTTGTAACGGAAGAATGTCAAATGTAAGTTCTATAATACTGTAGAAATGATAAAATTAGGTAATAATTGCTTGAATCGAGTGGTTTCTATTTTCATGTGAATGAGTTTAAACCAGAACCAACGAAACAAAAGCTTCAGTCTGATTTCAACAACTGTGGCAGACATTTGTCTTAGAACATTATTTTGCTTTGTCCCGTTGGTAGTTCTGGTTTAAAGAAGTGAAATGTATTTCTTTTGAGCAGCTCTGTAACAACACACGATACTAATACTTTTTTAAGTCAAACGGAAAGTCTAACGGTAACGGAAAGTCTAACAGAAAGTCTAACGGAAAGTGTAACGGTAACGGAAAGTCTAACGGAAAGTCTAACGGAAAGTCTAACGGAAAGTCTAACGGAAAGTGTAACGGAAAGTGTAACAGAAAGTGTAACGGAAAGTCTAACGTAACGGAAAGTCTAACGGAAAGTCTAACGGTAACGGAAAGTCTAACGGAAAGTCAAACGGAAAGTCTAACGGTAACGGAAAGTCTAACGGTAACGGAAAGTCTAACGGAAAGTCAAACGGAAAGTCAAACGGAAAGTCTAACGGTAACGGAAAGTCTAACGGAAAGTCTAACGGTAACGGAAAGTCAAACGGAAAGTCTAACGGTAACGGAAAGTCTAACGGAAAGTCTAACAGAAAGTCTAACGGAAAGTCTAACGGTAACGGAAAGTCTAAAGGAAAGTCTAACGGAAAGTCTAACAGAAAGTCTAACGGAAAGTCTAACGGAAAGTCTAACAGAAAGTCTAACGGAAAGTCTAACAGAAAGTCTAACGGAAAGTCTAACGGAAAGTCTAACAGAAAGTCTAACGGAAAGTCTAACGGAAAGTCTAAAGGTAACGGAAAGTCTAACGGAAAGTCCAACGGAAAGTCTAACGGTAACGGAAAGTCTAACGGAAAGTCTAAAGGTAACGGAAAGTCTAACGGAAACTGGTTTAAAGAAGTGAAATGTATTTCTTTTGAGCAGCTCTGTAACAACACACGATACTAATACTTTTTTAAGTCAAACGGAAAGTCTAACGGTAACGGAAAGTCTAACAGAAAGTCTAACGGAAAGTGTAACGGTAACGGAAAGTCTAACGGAAAGTCTAACGGAAAGTGTAACGGAAAGTGTAACAGAAAGTGTAACGGAAAGTCTAACGTAACGGAAAGTCTAACGGAAAGTCTAACGGTAACGGAAAGTCTAACGGAAAGTCAAACGGAAAGTCTAACGGTAACGGAAAGTCTAACGGAAAGTCTAACGGTAACGGAAAGTCTAACGGTAACGGAAAGTCTAACGGAAAGTCAAACGGAAAGTCTAACGGTAACGGAAAGTCAAACGGAAAGTCTAACGGTAACGGAAAGTCAAACGGAAAGTCTAACGGTAACGGAAAGTCAAACGGAAAGTCTAACGGTAACGGAAAGTCTAACGGTAACGGAAAGTCTAACGGAAAGTCTAACGGTAACGGAAAGTCTAACGGTAACGGAAAGTCTAACGGAAAGTCTAACGGAAAGTCTAACAGAAAGTCTAACGGAAAGTCTAACGGTAACGGAAAGTCTAAAGGAAAGTCTAACGGAAAGTCTAACAGAAAGTCTAACGGAAAGTCTAACGGAAAGTCTAACAGAAAGTCTAACGGAAAGTCTAACAGAAAGTCTAACGGAAAGTCTAACAGAAAGTCTAACGGAAAGTCTAACAGAAAGTCTAACGGAAAGTCTAACGGAAAGTCTAACAGAAAGTCTAACGGAAAGTCTAACAGAAAGTCTAACGGAAAGTCTAAAGGTAACGGAAAGTCTAACGGAAAGTCCAACGGAAAGTCTAACGGTAACGGAAAGTCTAACGGAAAGTCTAAAGGTAACGGAAAGTCTAACGGAAAGTCTAACGGAAAGTTTAACGGAAAGTCTAATGAAAATTCAAATGAAAAGTCTAATTAAAGTCCAGTTTCCGCCTCTTTCCTGTCATTAAACCGATCTTTGCGCTGTCATCTGCGTCCTGTCGTTGGAGAGTCGGATATCTAGGCCTGGAGTCGGGTCTCTACGTCTGGAGTCGAGTCTCTACGCCTGGAGTCGAGTCTCTACGTCTGGAGTCGGGTCTCTACGCCTGGAGTCGGGTCTCTACGCCTGGAGTCGAGTCTCTACGCCTGGAGTCGAGTCTCTACGTCTGGAGTCGGGTCTCTACGCCTGGAGTCGAGTCTCTACGCCTGGAGTCGAGTCTCTACGCCTGGAGTCGGGTCTCTACGCCTGGAGTCGAGTCTCTACGCCTGGAGTCGGGTCTCTACGCCTGGAGTCTGGTCTCTACGCCTGGGGTCGAGTCTCTACGCCTGGAGTCGAGTCTCTACGCCTGGAGTCGGGTCTCTACGCCTGGAGTCGAGTCTCTACGCCTGGAGTCGGGTCTCTACGCCTGGAGTCGAGTCTCTACGCCTGGAGTCGGGTCTCTACGCCTGGAGTCGAGTCTCTACGCCTGGAGTCGGGTCTCTACGTCTGGAGTCGGGTCTCTAGGCCTGGAGTCGGGTCTCTACGCCTGGAGTCTGGTCTCTACGTCTGGAGTCGGGTCTCTACGCCTGGAGTCGGGTCTCTACGCCTGGAGTCGGGTCTCTACGTCTGGAGTCGGGTCTCTACGCCTGGAGTCGGGTCTCTACGTCTGGAGTCGGGTCTCTACGTCTGGAGTCGGGTCTCTACGCCTGGAGTCGAGTCTCTACCCCTGGAGTCGGGTCTCTACGCCTGGAGTCGAGTCTCTACGCCTGGAGTCTGGTCTCTACGTCTGGAGTCGGGTCTCTACGCCTGGAGTCTGGTCTCTACGTCTGGAGTCGAGTCTCTACGCCTGGAGTCGAGGCGGCTTGTCCACGGTGGCGTACAGGCTCTCTGGGTTCTCACGCCGGACCGGGACTGGACCAGGGGCGGGGCCAGAGTGTGGTCCCAGCAAACTGTACGTGGACGACGGATTCTCTTCCAATTCTATGTGTGTCCCAGAGGCTGCTTCCGGGGCCGGAGGCTGAAACGAGAAACAAGGACAAGGTCTGAAACTAGATAAGTGTGAAATCTTTCTATCAGTGGTTTGGGAAAAGGTATGTGTGGCCCCCTGGTGGACACCCCTGGTGGACACCCCTGGTGGCCCCCCTGGTGGCCCCCCTGGTGGACACCCCTGGTGGACACCCCTGGTGGACACCCCTGGTGGACACCCCTGGTGAACACCCCTGGTGGACACCCCTGGTGAACACCCCTGGTGGACACCCCTGGTGGACACCCCTGGTGGACACCCCTGGTGAACACCCCTGGTGGACACCCCTGGTGGACACCCCTGGTGGACACCCCTGGTGAACACCCCTGGTGAACACCCCTGGTGGACACCCCTGGTGGACACCCCTGGTGAACACCCCTGGTGGACACCCCTGGTGGACACCCCTGGTGGACACCCCTGGTAGACACCCCTGGTGAACACCCCTGGTGAACACCCCTGGTGAACACCCCTGGTGAACACCCCTGGTGGACACCCCTGGTGAACACCCCTGGTGGACACCCCTGGTGAACACCCCTGGTGGACACCCCTGGTGGACACCCCTGGTGAACACCCCTGGTGGACACCCCTGGTGGACACCCCTGGTGAACACCCCTGGTGGACACCCCTGGTGGACACCCCTGGTGGACACCCCTGGTGACACCCCTGGTGACCCCTGGTGGACACCCCTGGTGGACACCCCTGGTGGACACCCCTGGTGAACACCCCTGGTGGACACCCCTGGTGAACACCCCTGGTGAACACCCCTGGTGGACACCCCTGGTGAACACCCCTGGTGGACACCCCTGGTGGACACCCCTGGTGAACACCCCTGGTGAACACCCCTGGTGGACACCCCTGGTGGACACCCCTGGTGAACACCCCTGGTGGACACCCCTGGTGGACACCCCTGGTGAACACCCCTGGTGGACACCCCTGGTGAACACCCCTGGTGGACACCCCTGGTGGACACCCCTGGTGAACACCCCTGGTGAACACCCCTGGTGAACACCCCTGGTGGGCACCCCTGGTGAACACCCCTGGTGGACACCCCTGGTGGACACCATGCAGTGACTTTATCGTTGGGCCATGCATGGTGTTAAAGTAAAAGAACATGACCCTCACAGCGCCCCCCGGTGGGCTCCAGGTGGGAGAGCGTCCTCTACTCTGATCTTAGGCCTGTAGCTGCTTTTACCTGCTCTGAAACTGAGAATCCATGACACCGGCTCATTAGAATATGTTTAGCTGTGGAGCCAAACATACTGCAGCTAAAGCTGGATCTGGCCAAAGGCTCCTGATTGGTCAGTTGTTTTAATCAACATCAGAAACTGAATGTTTGGTTTTATATTACAATTGTAAGAAACAGGAAGAGAGAGATTCATTAAAACATGTTCACAACAGTTAAATTGACGTGAAAACCCTTTTATTGTACATCTATCCATCATTTTCTTCTGCTTCATCCGTTGCCGGGTTGCAGTGGCAGCAGAGACGCCCAGACTTCCCCCTCCACAGACACCTCCTCCAGCTCGTCTGGGGGGACCCCAAGGCGTTCCCAGGCCAGCTGAGAGACATAGTCCCTTCCCGGGGCCTCCTCCCAGTGGGACATGCCCGGAACACCCCCAGATGCCAGAGCCAACTCAACTGGTTCCTTTCAATGTGGAGGAGCTCTTTCCATGTGACCGAGCTCCTCACCCTATCTCTAAGGGAGCAGCAGCTATACTCCGAGCTCTTCACCCTATCTCTAAGGGAGCAGAACTCTGCGGAGGAAGCTCATTTCGACCTCTTGTATCCGCGATCGGTCCGATACAGCTCTGACTGCAGACGCTGCTCCCTCTTTACCACAACGGTCCGATACAGCTCTGACTGCAGACGCTGCTCCCTCTTTACCACAACGGTCCGATACAGCTCTGACTGCAGACGCTGCTCCCTCTTCACCACAACGGTCCGATACAGCTCTGACTGCAGACGCTGCTCCCTCTTTACCACAACGGTCCGATACAGCTCTGACTGCAGACGCTGCTCCCTCTTTACCACAACGGTCCGATACAGCTCTGACTGCAGACGCTGCTCCCTCTTCACCACAACGGTCCGATACAGCTCTGACTGCAGACGCTGCTCCCTCTTTACCACAACGGTCCGATACAGCTCTGACTGCAGACGCTGCTCCCTCTTCACCACAACGGTCCGATACAGCTCTGACTGCAGACGCTGCTCCCTCTTTACCACAACGGTCCGATACAGCTCTGACTGCAGACGCTGCTCCCTCTTTACCACAACGGTCCGATACAGCTCTGACTGCAGACGCTGCTCCCTCTTTACCACAACGGTCCGATACAGCTCTGACTGCAGACGCTGCTCCCTCTTTACCACAACGGTCCGATACAGCTCTGACTGCAGACGCTGCTCCCTCTTTACCACAACGGTCCGATACAGCTCTGACTGTATCGGACCGTTACAGCGTCGCATGTAAGAGGTTTTCCTTCCAACCAAACAGGAGCACTCCAGACTACACTCATTTCATCAGGTCTTCAGATCGAGCCTGGACCCGGGGGCATGAGGAGTCTGGTCCTGCTCTGTCAGACTGAGACCTCTTTCTGAACCAGCTGGACCTCCCTGATCTCCAACATGGTCTGGACTGTGTTGGAGGCCATTTTGTGCAGAGTCAGAGCAGCCACAGTCTTTAGCGTTGCCTCGAAGCTCCAGAAACACAAACAGCCGAACAAACTTTCCAGTACATTCTGCTGCTTTGCATCAACCTAAAGATTATTGTGGACGACCCAAACATGATCTGGCAACCCTCATGGCTCCATTGGATGAGGGTTGCCAGATGCGCCTGAGAGTTATTTATTTAAGCAGGAACGAGTTTAGTCCTGAAACTATAAACTTTTTAGCAACTGAACCATATTGTTTTATGTTGCAGTGAAGTCAGAGGACGTCTCAACAGAAAACAGTCAGAAAATATAAGTATTATAATAATAAATAATGTCACATATACTCAGGGTGATGCGCAGCGGTCCAGGTTCAGTCCCAGTTTAGTCTCGGTTCAGTCCTGGTTTTGTTCCGGTTTGTTCTTGGTTTAGCCCTGGTCCAGCCCTGGTCCAGCCCTGGTCCAGCCCTGGTCCAGCCCTGGTCCAGCCCTGGTCCAGTCCTGGTCCAGTCCTGGTCCAGTCCTGGTCCAGTCCTGGTCCAGTCCTGGTCCAGTCCTGGTCCAGTCCTGGTCCAGTCCTGGTCCAGTCCTGGTCCAGCCTGGTCCTAGTCTCAGCCTCTTTGCAAACACTTCCTTAAATATAATCGTTGACTCACTTGAGCCACGTCGTAAACAGTCTCCTCCTGGATTTCCACTTTTCCTATGAAGAAACAAAGAAATACTGAATATTCTGGATTTATGTCAAACCAGAACAAACACAAATACTCACTCATGTTCTTTCTGCGCTTGAAAACAAAGAAAACAACGATTAAAACTAGCACCGCAACAACAACAACAACGATGACGACGACGATGACGATGACGGTATTGTCGTCTGGATCTGAAACGAAAAAATAAATAAAAAATCAACACAGGCACATAAAGAAAGGCACAGACCCAGCCTCTCTCAGGACCAGTCTGAAGATTCACAGTCTGCAAACCCCTTTTGGTAGAACAAGACACACCTTCGTAAAGAGAAGAGGAAAGGAAGGAACCAACACAACAAAGAGACTCAGTATTAGCGTAAACAAAGACTGCTTCCTCTGGTGTTTAACATATGAGCTCCTCTTCAGCTCCAGAAAGACCTCCCGGAGTCTTTCTGGAGCTGAAGTGAATTACAGAACAGAGCATTCAGCACAGAGCCACATATGATTTACCAAAATGATAATGAAGGTACATTCCAATGTCAACATCCTAAAAACAACGCCCTAACGTTAGATACGATCAGTGACATGCTAATGAGTTAGCATCGTTAGACCTGCTAGGTCTGGAGTACCTGCTAACTGAAGCACAGATGATGCTAACTGAAGTACAGATGATGCTAACTGAAGCACAGATGATGCTAACTGAAGCACAGATGATGCTAACTGAAGCACAGATGATGCTAACTGAAGTACAGATGATGCTAACTGAAGTACAGATGATGCTAACTGAAGTACAGATGATGCTAACTGAAGTACAGATGATGCTAACTGAAGTACAGATGATGCTAACTGAAGTACAGATGATGCTAACTGAAGCACAGATGATGCTAACTGAAGTACAGATGATGCTAACTGAAGTACAGATGATGCTAACTGATGCTAACTGAAGCACAGATAATGCTAACTGAAGCACAGATGATGCTAACTGATGCTAACTGAAGCACAGATGATGCTAACTGAAGCACAGATGATGCTAACTGAAGTACAGATGATGCTAACTGAAGCACAGATGATGCTAACTGAAGCACAGATGATGCTAACTGAAGCACAGATGATGCTAACTGAAGCACAGATGATGCTAACTGAAGCACAGATGATGCTAACTGAAGCACAGATGATGCTAACTGAAGCACAGATGATGCTAACTGAAGCACAGATGATGCTAACTGAAGCACAGATGATGCTAACTGAAGCACAGATGATGCTAACTGAAGTACAGATGATGCTAACTGAAGCACAGATGATGCTAACTGAAGTACAGATGATGCTAACTGAAGCACAGATGATGCTAACTGAAGCACAGATGATGCTAACTGAAGTACAGATGATGCTAACTGAAGCACAGATGATGCTAACTGAAGCACAGATGATGCTAACTGAAGCACAGATGATGCTAACTGAAGCACAGATGATGCTAACTGAAGCACAGATGATGCTAACTGAAGCACAGATGATGCTAACTGAAGCACAGATGATGCTAACTGAAGCACAGATGATGCTAACTGAAGTACAGATGATGCTAACTGAAGCACAGATGACGCTAACTGAAGTACAGATGATGCTAACTGATGCACAGATGAGACTATTCCACTGTGGTTTTACTGCAAATAAACTGATTCTGAATCTTTATGCTTTGAACGTGCAGAGAATAAGTCTTGTACAGATGTGTTCGTCAGTCCGTGTGTCTCTACTGAACAGTCCGTGCGTCTCTACTGAACAGTCCGTGCGTCTCTACTGAACAGTCCGTGTGTCTCTACTGAACAGTCCGTGTGTCTCTACTGAACAGTCCGTGTGTCTCTACTGAACAGTCCGTGTGTCTCTACTGAACAGTCCGTGCGTCTCTACTGAACAGTCCGTGTGTCTCTACTGAAACAGTCTGAACGTGTGTCTCTACTGAACAGTCCGTGTGTCTCTACTGAACAGTCCGTGCGTCTCTACTGAAACAGTCCGTGTGTCTCTACTGAACAGTCCGTGTGTCTCTACTGAACAGTCCGTGCGTCTCTACTGAACAGTCCGTGCGTCTCTACTGAACAGTCCGTGCGTCTCTACTGAACAGTCTGTGTGTCTCTACTGAGCAGTCCGTGCGTCTCTACTGAACAGTCCGTGCGTCTCTACTGAACAGTCCGTGTGTCTCTACTGAAACAGTCCTTGCGTCTCTACTGAACAGTCCGTGTGTGTCTACTGAACAGTCCGTGCGTGTCTACTGAACAGTCCGTGTGTCTCTACTGAACAGTCCGTGCGTCTCTACTGAACAGTCCGTGCGTCTCTACTGAACAGTCCGTGTGTGTCTACTGAACAGTCCGTGCGTGTCTACTGAACAGTCCGTGTGTCTCTACTGAACAGTCTGTGCGTCTCTACTGAACAGTCCGTGCGTCTCTACTGAACAGTCCGTGCGTCTCTACTGAACAGTCCGTGCGTCTCTACTGAACAGTCCGTGCGTCTCTACTGAACAGTCCGTGTGTCTCTACTGAACAGTCCGTGTCTCTACTGAACAGTCCGTGCGTCTCTACTGAACAGTCCGTGCGTCTCTACTGAACAGTCCGTGCGTCTCTACTGAACAGTCCGTGCGTCTCTACTCAACAGTCCGTGTGTCTCTACTGAACAGTCCGTGCGTCTCTACTGAACAGTCCGTGCGTCTCTACTGAACAGTCCGTGCGTCTCTACTCAACAGTCCGTGTGTCTCTACTGAACAGTCCGTGCGTGTCTACTGAACAGTCCGTGTGTCTCTACTGAACAGTCTGTGCGTCTCTACTGAACAGTCCGTGCGTCTCTACTGAACAGTCCGTGCGTCTCTACTGAACAGTCCGTGTCTCTACTGAACAGTCCGTGCGTCTCTACTGAACAGTCCGTGCGTCTCGACTGAACAGTCTGTGTGTCTCTACTGAACAGTCCGTGCGTCTCTACTGAACAGTCCGTTCGTGCCAAGAGGTCCGTGCGTTGTGACGGTCGAACGCGCGCCACCATAGACTTTGCATTGAAACCCGACGCAGCGTGATCAGGTCTGAAAGCACCATTAGTCCTGACTAGAACCAGGAAGTACGACCACATTAGTCCTGACTAGAACCAGGAAGTACGACCACATTAGTCCTGACTAGAACCAGGAAGTACGACCGCATTAGTCCTGACTAGAACCAGGAAGTACGACCACATTAGTCCTGACTAGAACCAGGAAGTACGACCACATTAGTCCTGACTAGAACCAGGAAGTACGACCGCATTAGTCCTGACTAGAACCAGGAAGTACGACCACATTAGTCCTGACTAGAACCAGGAAGTACGACCGCATTAGTCCTGACTAGAACCAGGAAGTACGACCACATTAGTCCTGACTAGAACCAGGAAGTACGACCACATTAGTCCTGACTAGAACCAGGAAGTACGACCACATTAGTCCTGACTAGAACCTAGAAGTACGGCCCAGTCCCAATACTCGCACTTCCACCTGGCGCCCCTCATGTGTGCGTTCCCGATGATGAGTGCGTAGGGTACAGTCCCAATTCTCCAGGGAGGTCTTTGGCCCCGCCCCCTTTGCGCCCCCGATCCACACTTCACCGTAGCCTGCATCTATGCGGACTTTGGCGAAGGATATTGCCCAAAATTCTTTGCGGCACACACTAAAACGTTGGAAAAATGCATTTAAATATAAGTTTTGAAATATATATGTATGTGTGTAAATAAGTTTTGCTGTGACTTGGAAAGAAGCATAAACGTCTGATGAAGAATTACGGACATTGTATTTTAACAATTTAATAACTTTTTAAAGCAAGCGTTTATATAACATTCAATTTAAACTTTACACTTAGTACAATAAACTTAGGATGTATAAAAACTGACCAGAAAACAGTTACCCACATTTAACTTAAGATTATACAGCTATCTCAAACTACGAATAACCAATATACATTTATTTTAACCTGTGTGGAGCAACTCACTTTGTTTCCCAAAGACAGACAAATTTACATTTAATTTTTATAAAGTTTAGGTCTGAAAATGACCCTCTCTTGACGAGTCGATGACGTCACCTGCTCTCAGTGCACTGTCCCAATTCTGCCTTTTTTGCTGTAACCCTCAAACCCTGGTGTGCACTTCAAACACATGCACACTTTGTAGAGGTGTGTAGGGGCAGTGTGGGTATTGGGACTGGGTTAGTCCTGACTAGAACCAGGAAGTACGACCACATTAGTCCTGACCAGAACCAGGAAGTACGACCACATTAGTCCTGACTAGAACCAGGAAGTACGACCACATTAGTCCTGACCAGAACCAGGAAGTACGACCACATTAGTCCGGACTAGAACCAGGAAGTACGACCGCATTAGTCCTGACTAGAACCAGGAAGTACGACCACATTAGTCCTGACTAGAACCAGGAAGTACGACCACATTAGTCCTGACCAGAACCAGGAAGTACGACCACATTAGTCCTGACTAGAACCAGGAAGTACGACCACATTAGTCCAGTCCTCAGGTCTCTGCACTGGCTTCCTGTGGCTCAGAGAATAGACTTTAAAACAGCTCTGCTTGTTACAAGTCTCTCCATGGCCTCGCACCAAAATATTTTAGTGACATGTTAGTCCCATATGAACCAGCCCGGACTCTGAGGAGCACAGGGACTGGACTCCTGTTGGGACTCTGAGGAGCACAGGGACTGGCCTCCTGCTGGGACTCTGAGGAGCACAGGGACTGGACTCCTGCTGGGACTCTGAGGAGCACAGGGACTGGCCTCCTGCTGGGACTCGGAGGAGCACAGGGACTGGACTCCTGCTGGGACTCTGAGGAGCACAGGGACTGGACTCCTGCTGGGACTCTGAGGAGCACAGGGACTGGCCTCCTGCTGGGACTCTGAGGAGCACAGGGACTGGACTCCTGCTGAGACTCTGAGGAGCACAGGGACTGGCCTCCTGCTGGGACTCTGAGGAGCACAGGGACTGGACTCCTGCTGGGACTCTGAGGAGCACAGGGACTGGCCTCCTGCTGGGACTCGGAGGAGCACAGGGACTGGACTCCTGCTGGGACTCTGAGGAGCACAGGGACTGGACTCCTGCTGGGACTCTGAGGAGCACAGGGACTGGCCTCCTGCTGGGACTCTGAGGAGCACAGGGACTGGACTCCTGCTGGGACTCTGAGGAGCACAGGGACTGGCCTCCTGCTGGGACTCTGAGGAGCACAGGGACTGGCCTCCTGCTGGGACTCTGAGGAGCACAGGGACTGGACTCCTGCTGGGACTCTGAGGAGCACAGGGACTGGACTCCTGCTGGGACTCTGAGGAGCACAGGGACTGGACTCCTGCTGGGACTCTGAGGAGCACAGGGACTGGACTCCTGCTGGGACTCTGAGGAGCACAGGGACTGGACTCCTGTTAGTGCCCAGAGTCAGAACTAAACATGGGGAGGCTGCTTTTCAGATTCATGCTGCTAAAATCTGGAACAGTCTTCCTGAAGATGTGAGACAGGCCTCCTCTCTGACAATGTTTAAAACCAGGTTAAAGACAGTTCTGTTTAGCTGTGCTACAACTGAGGGATTTTATATTTTTATCTTTCTTTTTAATGTTCTGTGATTATTTATGATTTTAATGCTTTGTTTTGTTTTGCTTTCAAATACACTCTGAATTGTGCTATTCAAATAAACTTGCCTGTTATAGAAAAACAGCTGTGGTTTCTCTCACTGAACACCAGGACATGGGTCTTTTCAAACTAGCTGCAAACTTCCAGAGCAGATGATAATAGCATCTGTCATTATCCTGTGTGTACGTTGTTAATTATACTAAATGACAAGTATTTCAAGAACAAAACAAGGAAGAAAAAGGCAACACATGGTTTAGGTTTTTGTTGTTTGCCTGTAAGTGTCGTATGTTGTCCACAATTTAAATAAATAAATACATAAACAAAATGGCCGCCAAACAGAAGAAACAGGGAAAAGTCTTTGGGGCGAGACAGGGATGCCCTTTAAAGTGGACATATTGTGTTTTCAAATAATTGATTTTTACATCTAAATCATTAATTTGTGGCCTATATAAAGCGTAACTGCAATGCCTGTGTCTGAGTCTCATTATTTGTAGCTCCTGTTCTGAGGTGCGTCTGACTGCTAATTTACACATCACGCGTTGCAGCACGTACGCGTTATACGCGCAGCAGACGCGCGTTACTTTTTTCCATGTTAACCTATGATGATATTTACACTTCTAGCGTTATACGTGTGTATGAAGGACGTATGATGCGAAGCTGCGCCTAAATTAGAATTGATTTCTAATTTTGACGCGTACATACGCGGGCAACTCAGGAAGTCAATAGGTGATCTTTCAAAGTAAACTTCCGGTACCCTACCAAAATAAGTGTCTGTTTATTTCTTGACGCCGCAACACCCACAGCATCCTCAATGGACGACGAAAAGTTGATTGTTGAGGTGGAGAAGTACAGCATTATTTATGATGCGCAGCACAAATTTTACAAAGACACCGTAAAGAACATGCAGGCATGGCGGTCTGTGCCACACGTTTAAATTGCGACGGTAAGTTAGCAATGCTAATTTACTACTAATTTTCAAGTAACGTCTAAACACAGCTGTAGCTATTATCTGTATGTAAGTATCACATATTTTCTAAAGATTCAATTCAGTACATTTGGGCCTCGTAAATAAGTGAGAAGTATGTAACTTTGTCGTGTCACATTGTCTTTTAATATCACAAAATAGAAACACAAATCAGAAACAATGGAAGCTAGAACATTTTTTACCAAAGGTTTCAAAGAAAAATGAACAAAACAGAAATTAAACCATCCTGTCTTGCCAAGCCACACTTCCCTCAGGAGAATTAAAATACTGGCAGAATGCATCCCTCACATCCATAGCATCTTGGGATGCCCTGTTTCCTGCCATATTCCTGACTCCTTGCATCCTTCTTGGTTGCTCATCAAGCAGTCTCTGGTTGTCACGTGGAGCGAGAAGGTAATTGTGGAGAATGCAGGCAGCCACAACCACATTATCCACTTTGTCTGGATGGAGATGAATTCTTCTGTAGAATATTCTCCATCTGGATGCCAAAATGCCAAACGCACTCTCCACAACCATTCTTGCTCGGGACAGCCTGTAGTTGAAAATCCTCTTCTCCTTTGTGAGTCCCTGTTGAGCATAGGGTCTCATCAAGTATGTTTTGAGAGGGAAAGCTGCATCCCCGACAATGACATGAGGGAGGTTTCCCAGGTGAGCCGCTCCAGGTAATGAGGCATCAGATGGAACTTGCACCGTTTGTTCCTCGAACCCCCTCCCCAGAACAGATCGTGCATAAATGCCCCCATCACTGGTCCTCCCATAATCTCCCACTTGAATGACCCGAAATCGATACTGAGCATCCACAAGAGCCATGAGAACCACTGAAAAGGTCTTCTTGTAATTAAAAAACAGACTTCCAGACCTAGGTGGCGATTGGATGGTTATGTGTTTTCCATCTAAAGCCCCCAGACAGTTGGGAAAGTTCCATCTCTCCCAGAACTCCAGTGCAATCTCTCTCCAGGTTTCATTTGTAGGCTTTGGCAAAAACTCTGGAAGCATTATTTTGGCAATGGCTGCACAAACCATGTGCACTGACTGCTGTACTGTGGCATGACCAAGGCCATATGCAAAAGACAGGCTGAGCAGGGAGTCACCAGAGGCCAAATATCTAAAAAGGAAACAAAAACACCATTTAAACATTCGTCTGTGTGTTACGTATGTAGTTATGATGATATATATAATGGTTATAACACAATATTATCATTGTTATGTATACATTTAAACTTGTTTTTATCTTTTTAGTGGAACTGTGCAAATCACGTTGGAAGACCCTCAGAGATACGTTTGTGAGGCACCGTAAAAAACATGAGCCAAGTGGATCAAGAGGAGGGTCCCAGAAAGTTTGGAAGTACATGGACATTATGTCGTTCCTGCTACCATTTGTACAAACAAGAAGGTATTGTGAAATTGTGCAAAAGATGAAAGTTGTTGTTACATTGATGAAGACAAGAGATAATATTATTAATTTAAAAATGTGTCTGATATACAATTCTATCATATGGCTCTGATTGATTGATTTGCAGTCTGATATTTCTCTGTACAGACCTCGCGCTCGTTTAATAAGCCGTTATTATTATATGACTTGGACCGTACGCGCGCTCTGATTGGCTGATTACCGGTCTGATATTTTCCCATCTCGGACCGTTACCATGACAATTGGTCCGAACAGCGCGTATCACATTTGATATCTTTCCTCGGACCGTTACCATGACAATCGGTCCGCAGCGCGTATCACACAAAACCAAGTCGGACATGAACATACTTCACAAATATCTCAAAAGCCTTGGACACAGACGAGAGTCATATAATAAAACATTCATTAACCTTGCTTGCTCGGTCTGTGCAGAGAAGTATCAGACCGTGGCCTTAATGTACAGACCCAGCCGTGGCGAGGTCTGTGCAAAAAGGCCAAGGTCTGATTTTTCTCCATACAGACCTCGCGCTCGGTTAATAAGCCGTTAATACAGTGTATTAGCTGAATCCATTCAATTTATTTTTTTATTTCCCAAAATAACAATAAGTCATCTCAGAGGGCATCACATAATTGTTAATTACAAATTAGAGAATCGAACAATTGCACACATTAAGAAACAGAAACATAAATAAGATAAGATGAGGTAGTCATTCGTCATTGTTTGTGTGTGCATAATGTATTTAGTCTTTCTCTTTTCAGTTCTACATCAAACTTGGACTACAGTCTACTGGAGCAGGATGAGACTTGTAGCCCCACACCACCAGAAGAGGCAGAGGACCCTCCTTGCAGTCATTTATCATCTGCATCATACACACCCACACCCATACCATCAACATCAACATCTAAAGATGTCTCCAGAGCTCCCACGCCACACTCTGGTTCCAGTTTAGCTGCCGTTACCTCGGCTACTACCACTGAAAGAAGTTCCCAGGGAAGGAAGAGACCCCAGCAAGGCAATTCAACTTTAGGACAACATCTTCTGTCCATTTTAGAAGAGCCTGTGAATAAAGTCACACCACCAGTAAGCGATTTGGATGAGTCTTGTACCAATCCTGAATAGAATGGATAGAAATACCAGGAGAGAGGCAAAACTGGCTGTTATTCGTTGTCTGGGAAGTTTCGAGGACAGAGGACAGGCTGTTCCTCAACAATCACCACCCTCGTCTCTCTCTTCATGTCCTACCCAAATGGAAGCAACCCATTTTCAATCACACCCACAACAAATGCAATCATATATGCATATGCCATCTGATCAGAGGTGGGAGCACAGTGCATCAGAGTACAATACCTATCAAAATATGTAAACCCAAAAAGAAAAGAAAAAACTTACATTTCCTGTTCAGGCTTGTGTTTTATTTGGCTTTGGAAGAACCATTTGAAAGAGCATTTGTTAATGTTGTAAACATATGTATTTTATAATTAAAATGTTTCTATTTTTCTATTTACAAAAGTATTTTGTAAATTTTTGTAATAGTACTTTACCAATAAAAATTATAGTTTGCATGCTTTTGTGCATTCCTGCTTACCTCAAAGCTACAGCAAGTCTTTGTTTAGGCTCAATTGCAGCCCTGTAGGTGGTGCTTTGCCTGTATATTTCTGGTCCGATGTAGGAGAGAAGAGTGTCCATTTTCTCCGCGCTCATCCTAAAATATTGGTGGTGTTTTTGGCTGTCAAGTCTCAGCTCGGCCACAAGGTGGTGGAAGTCACCCTGTTGTTGCCGCTGCTGATTAATGGGATGTACCCAAAGACGCCTGGCCCGTTGTCTCTCCTGTCTTCGTACTTCTTCCACCAGGAGAAGAAAGGCCAAGGTTCTCCTTCTACTCGGAGCTGTTTCTATAAATAAATACACAAGCTAAACTAAAACACGCTAGCAAACATACAATTATTAAGCAAACACTAGAAAAATAGGCAGTGCTTAATAAAACAAAAATCCTTCATAAAATTGTACAAGATATCATATAACGTTAATTACTTACCCATTTTATTCATGAAATGAAAAGTATTGTCACCAGAGACGCCAGTTAGCTTCTGCTTCCGAGATGCTTTATGTGTAAATATACGCTTCTGGAGATACGCAAATATGCGCGTTGCCAACGCGTACGCGCTGTTAACGCGTACGCGCTGTTAACGCCTCTTGTGTAAATTGTACGTGAGAGCAACCTGTTTTGGTGCTGTCTCTTTAAATGCAAATGAGGCGCTTTTGACCACGCCCCCATCCAGGTGACACAGGTTCAACTCCACCCCGAGCGGCCATTTTTGTAGTTTCTAAGCACAGATACAATTATCTCATAGAAACTTCTCATTACATCGCAAACATGAAGCAGTCCTTCCTCATTGACTGAAAGCAAATGTTAATTTTCATTCTTAGTCCAGTCTTATTATCGACTCTCTTATCGTCTCTTTTTAGCTTTGGGATCCATGCGCACAGTCAAGGCAAGGAAAGGCAAGTTTATTTATATAGCACAATTCATACACAAGGCAATTCAAAGTGCTGAACAAAATAAGAAAGCGTTAAAATCATAAATTTTCACAGAACATTAAAAAGAAAGATAAAAATATAAAATCCCTCAGTTGTAGCACAGCTAAACAGAACTGTCTTTAACCTGGTTTTAAACATTGTCAGAGAGGAGGCCTGTCTCACATCTTCAGGAAGACTGTTCCAGATTGTAGCAGCATGAATCTGAAAAGCAGCCTCCCCATGTTTAGTTCTGACTCTGGGCACTAACAGGAGTCCAGTCCCTGTGCTCCTCAGAGTCCCAGCAGGAGTCCAGTCCCTGTGCTCCTCAGAGTCCCAGCAGGAGTCCAGTCCCTGTGCTCCTCAGAGTCCCAGCAGGAGTCCAGTCCCTGTGCTCCTCAGAGTCCCAGCAGGAGGCCAGTCCCTGTGCTCCTCAGAGTCCCAGCAGGAGTCCAGTCCCTGTGCTCCTCAGAGTCCCAGCAGGAGTCCAGTCCCTGTGCTCCTCAGAGTCCCAGCAGGAGTCCAGTCCCTGTGCTCCTCAGAGTCCCAGCAGGAGGCCAGTCCCTGTGCTCCTCAGAGTCCCAGCAGGAGTCCAGTCCCTGTGCTCCTCAGAGTCCCAGCAGGAGTCCAGTCCCTGTGCTCCTCAGAGTCCCAGCAGGAGGCCAGTCCCTGTGCTCCTCAGAGTCCCAGCAGGAGTCCAGTCCCTGTGCTCCTCAGAGTCCCAGCAGGAGGCCAGTCCCTGTGCTCCTCAGAGTCCCAGCAGGAGTCCAGTCCCTGTGCTCCTCAGAGTCCCAGCAGGAGTCCAGTCCCTGTGCTCCTCAGAGTCCCAGCAGGAGTCCAGTCCCTGGTGTGGGCCTACGTCGCAGGATATGACGCACTACGTTGACAGAAATGTTTACATTGAATATTACTTATGCACAATTTTAAAGCATTTAAAAACGTTAAGAACGTTTTTCCTTCTACAGAAGGAAAGAGACGCATGCGCCTCCGGAGCCGCAGGTTGCAGACTCCTAGTTTATACAGTATGTGGAAGCAAATACTGTAGAGGATCAGGATGTGCAGTTTCAACAATAAAATAAAATGCAATAGTCTACATTAAAGAGAGTAATAAACATGTCTCAGAGTGAGGGAGGTGGACACAGGCAACACTATTGTTTGTTACAGGGATGAGAATTGGTCAAAAAAGACTGAAATACATATTGTCAGTCATTTGCTGGCTCTAAATCTGTTTAATTTGTTCACAACATATTACTTTTGGGCTCAAACATGAACTTTTAATGCAATGCAAAATGTAGGTATCAGAGCTTTATTTAGGGCGTTTAATCGCGCTTCGAGAGGAGAGGGGAGACGCGGACTGTTTCCTGCAGCAGTGTATTTATTGGGTGCACAGATTACTCAAAGACACGCATGGTCCTGTGCGCGTTTATGGGGTTGGGTACATGGCCACGATGAGGCTGCGCGCTCAGCCACAACACGGTGGAGCGGCTGCGAGCGGCTGGACGCTCACAGCCTCTCGCAGCCGCTGGACGCTCACAGCCTCTCGCAGCCGCTGGACGCTCACAGCCTCTCGCAGCCGCTGGACGCTCACAGCCTCTCACAGCCGCTGGACGCTCACAGCCTCTCACAGCCTCTCACAGCCTCTCGCAGACGCTGGACGCTCACAGCCTCTCGCAGACGCTGGACGCTCACAGCCTCTCGCAGACGCTGGACGCTCACAGCCTCTCACAGCCGCTGGACGCTCACAGCCTCTCGCAGACGCTGGACGCTCACAGCCTCTCGCAGACGCTGGACGCTCACAGCCTCTCGCAGACGCTGGACGCTCACAGCCTCTCGCAGACGCTGGACGCTCACAGCCTCTCACAGATGCTGGACGCTCACAGCCTCTCGCAGCCGCTGGACGCTCACAGCCTCTCGCAGACGCTGGACGCTCACAGCCTCTCACAGCCGCTGGACGCTCACAGCCTCTCACAGCCGCTGGACGCTCACAGCCTCTCACAGCCGCTGGACGCTCACAGCCTCTCGCAGACGCTGGACGCAGAAGCTGCTCATTACAAAGCAGCCGCAGATGCCCCGGAACACTGCGGCCGCTGAGGTGGTGGAATCCCGTTCGAGTACATACAGCAGGTGCCCCGCGGATACACGCGCCCCGCTCCAACAATTCTCAACGGATTTACACTTCTCATAAACATGTGTTTTGTATGAGGCAGACAGACCGGCCCAAATATGGGCATCGGCTCTTTGGGCATTGCCCGGTACGCCCGATGGCCAGTCCAGCCCTGTTCGCTGGCATCCTTGAGCTTGGACTACAAATTCAAAGTGATGCACAGTAGAGGAGGGCTGGGCCGAAGTGTTTTGTTAGACGCCCATGCCCTTATATGGCAGTCTCGCTGCAAATACTGTGACGTAATAATTCTAAACACGTAATAGAGAACGGCAAAATCAGAACGGGTTGAAAAATCTTACCTAAACAGAATATGAAGTGTTCTCTGCAACCCATGAAGAGACTGATTTCAACTTTTTTGCACTTCTAGAGGCTCCAACTACACAACATAAGGCATTTAAGGCACAAAAAGTGGATTTTTCATGATATGTCCCCTTTAAGCTCTTTTCTCTGCATAGTTTCATTGTACTTCCTGTTTCTTTGAATGTTGTAGAGACTGTGTTTGTGACAGCCTGGTCGTACCACACCATAGTACAAATTTCATTTCATACTAAGGTCTGGATCTGCTCCATTGACTCCGTGAACAGAGGAGGGGCTAACTCCTTTTGCAGATTGAAACCATTGGATCTGAGTTTACTGTGTATGTAGTGCGTCCGAGTGTGTCGTTAGCATTTAGCCTAGCTTTAGCCATCTCCTTTGCCGCTAACGGAGCCCGTGTGGAGTAGCGCCACAATCTTGACCAGCGATTACATTTGCTAAACATTCCTTTTGCTCCGGCTTCAATTTCTCGATTGAACCAGACCAGAATACTTTACTATCGCATCCTTACCAAACTTCAACCTGCCCGTTCGACGCAAACTCTTGACGTCATCGTCACCGACCTACAACACCCGCCTTCCGTGCTCTCTGATTGGCCGGTCGAAATACGACCGATTGTATTCGCTAACACAGGAACAGACCCAGACGCTACATGCAGGAAATGATGATTGAGCAGAGTGTGTGTGTGTGTGTGTGTGTGTGTGTGTCTGTGTGTGTGTGTGTTCGTGTATATGTGTGTGTGTGTGTGTGTTCGTGTATATGTGTGTGTGTGTGTTTTTGTTCCAGTTCCCACCCGCGATAAAAACCACTTCCTGTGTCAACGTTCCTTTGCACGTCTTTGGAGGTCTTCTTCTTACTGTACGTGTTCGTCTCTTCGTAGGTCCTTATTATTTCAGAAAAGTTTTGTTTTTGTTTGTTGTTAGCAACTTGTTGAATGTACATATTTTTTCCTAAATGTGTTTGAGGAGACTATGGATGTATTATATTATCTGGACAGGGTATTGCTAGCTTAAACCTGTCTCCACGTGGACAAGTGGACACCAGTGGTACTGCAGATAAAATTGCCAAGAGCTGTAGAGGAGACCTCAATATTAGCTAAAGCGGCTCCTCAGCTAACGGCTAGGTATCAAGCCCCGGCGATCCAAGATGGCGCCCTATTCAGATGAATAGTTGTGCTCAATGGCGCTTTGTGACGGCATGGGCTGAAAGATTAGCGGAAGTCTCAAAGATCTATGGGAAACTCTCAAAGATCTATGAGAAACTCTCAAAGATCTATGGAAACTCTCAAAGATCTATAGGAAACTCTCAAAGATCTATGAGAAACTCTCAAAGATCTATGGGAAACTCTCAAAGATCTATGGGAAACTCTCAAAGATCTATGGGAAACTCTCAAAGGTCTATGGGAAACTCTCAAAGGTCTATGGGAAACTCAAAGATCTATGGGAAACTCTCAAAGATCTATGGAAACTCTCAAAGATCTATGAGAAACTCTCAAAGATCTATAGGAAACTCTCAAAGATCTATGAGAAACTCTCAAAGATCTATGGGAAACTCTCAAAGATCTATGGGAAACTCTCAAAGATCTATGGAAACTCTCAAAGATCTATGAGAAACTCTCAAAGATCTATGGGAAACTCTCAAAGATCTATGGGAAACTCTCAAAGATCTATGGGAAACTCTCAAAGATCTATGGGAAACTCTCAAAGATCTATGGAAACTCTCAAAGATCTATGAGAAACTCTCAAAGATCTATGGGAAACTCTCAAAGATCTATGAGAAACTCTCAAAGATCTATGGGAAACTCTCAAAGATCTATGGGAAACTCTCAAAGATCTATGGAAACTCTCAAAGATCTATGAGAAACTCTCAAAGATCTATGGGAAACTCTCAAAGATCTATGAGAAACTCTCAAAGATCTATGAAACTCTCAAAGATCTATGGGAAACTCTCAAAGATCTATGGGAAACTCTCAAAGAACTTTGGGAAACTCTCAAAGATCTATGGGAAACTCTCAAAGATCTATGGGAAACTCTCAAAGAACTTTGGGAAACTCTCAAAGATCTATGGGAAACTCTCAAAGATCTATGAGAAACTCTCAAAGATCTATGAGAAACTCTCAAAGATCTATGGGAAACTCTCAAAGATCTATGAGAAACTCTCAAAGATCTATGGGAAACTCTCAAAGATCTCTGGGAAACTCTCAAAGATTTATGGGAAACTCTCAAAGATCTATGGGAAACTCTCAAAGATCTATGAGAAACTCTCAAAGATCTATGAAACTCTCAAAGATCTATGGGAAACTCTCAAAGATCTATGGGAAACTCTCAAAGATCTATGGGAAACTCTCAAAGATCTATGGGAAACTCTCAAAGATCTCAAAGATCTATGGGAAACTCTCAAAGATCTATGAGAAACTCTCAAAGATCTATGAGAAACTCTCAAAGATCTATGGGAAACTCTCAAAGGTCTATGAGAAACTCTCAAAGATCTATGAGAAACTCTCAAAGAACTTTGGGAAACTCTCAAAGATCTTTGGGAAACTCGCCTGTATTTGGGCATCGTCTGGTCCTCCCGGTTCTGTGCAGTGGATGATCTCCCATAATGCATTGTGTCAGATACACGTGTGTGGGTCTCACACCGGGTCTCACGCACGTGCACAGAGGGGCTCACGCACGTGCACAGAGGGTCTCACGCACGTGCACAGAGGGTCTCACGTACGTGCACAGAGGGTCTCATGCACGTGCACAGAGGGTCTCACGCACGTGCACAGAGGGTCTCATGCACGTGCACAGAGGGTCTCGTCTCTGACCAATCAGAGCAGTTCCTCAGAGCGGGAGTTAGTGTGGATTTAAACAAAACCGAAGGATTTAAGAAGAAAAAAAGTTCAGGACGACAAGGGACACTAACATCCCCACAAAATCTGACCTTTATGAAAGCTGTAGGTTCTCTGTCAGGTTCTCTGTCAGGTTCTCTGTCAGGTTCTCTGTCAGGTTCTCTGTCAGGTTCTCTGTCAGGTTCTCTGTCAGGTTCTCTGTCAGCTGAGGTCGAGCTGTTTTAATTTACATTAAGTTCTATAAGGAACATTTCTGGGTAGCCCACGTGACTGTAGTCTCTGAGTGGCCACAGTCACAGCTCTACCTCAGAGAGAAAGAACAGCAACACTTTAGGGTCAGTCTCAGCTGAATGTATCTAATTACTATAAAACGTCACTAAAACTCACCTAAAAGCCATAGATTAGCATAGACAGGAAGTGAACGGGCTGATCCTTGTTAACAGGAAGTGACGTCACGCCTCACTCTGCATACGGCCCATAAGAATAGCTCGTACATATATAGACAGGCCACGTCATGGAAACTAAAGCACAAGAGGAAGCCTGAAGAAGAAACTAATACAATAATAAAATCTGCACCTTCCTTTTTTGTCTCGTTAGTATAATGTTGCTCTTCTAAAGTAGGTCCAGATATTACATTAATGCATATATATGTTTTTAAACCCACCCAGAGGCAGCCTTTTCACATCAAATATCACTTTATATGGACTTACGCAGAAAAGACTAACTGTAAATGTATTTCTGCAAATGATTGGTTCATATTTAGAATGTTCACAGAATATGGTGCATCGTTATTAAAAACAGAGAAAACAGAATCATAGTTTAAAAGAACAAGACACACACACAGACAAATGTGTGTCTTAAACACATTTGAGAGGAGGGAAGCAGTAAGGCCCAGGGTCCCTCTCTGGGTCCAGACTCTCTCTGGGTCCAGACTCTCTCTGGGTCCAGACTCTCTCCGGGTCCAGACTCTCTCCGGGTCCAGACTCTCGGTCCACTCTCTCCGGGTCCAGACTCTCTCTGGGTCCAGACTCTCTCCGGGTCCAGACTCTCGGTCCACGCTCTCCGGGTCCAGACTCTCGGTCCAGACTCTCTCCGGGTCCTGACTCTCTCCGGGTCCAGACTCTCTCCGGGTCCTGACTCTCTCCGGGTCCTGACTCTCTCCGGGTCCAGACTCTCTCCGGGTCCAGACTCTCGGTCCAGACTCTCTCCGGGTCCTGACTCTCTCCGGGTCCAGACTCTCTCCGGGTTCTGACTCTCTCCGGGTCCAGACTCTCTCTGGGTCCAGACTCTCTCCGGGTCTGACTCTCTCCGGGTCCAGACTCTCTCCGGGTCCAGACTCTCGGTCCAGACTCTCTCCGGGTCCAGACTCTCGGTCCAGACTCTCGGTCCTGACTCTCTCCGGGTCCTGACTCTCTCCGGGTCCAGACTCTCTCCGGGTCCAGACTCTCTCCGGGTCCAGACTCTCTCCGGGTCCTGACTCTCTCCGGGTCCAGACTCTCGGTCCAGACTCTCTCCGGGTCCTGACTCTCTCCGGGTCCAGACTCTCTCCGGGTCCTGACTCTCTCCGGTACAGGTACAGGCAGAGAGGGGAGGAGAGGGAGGGAGGATACAATCAGCTGCTGTCAGACTGTACAACGATCAACACGGACTAAAAAACGCTGCCGACCTGAGCTCACATGTCTGTCACTCAGTGATACAGGTTCTTTACAAATGACAGAATATTCTCAGTTTTTAGTTTAATATAATTCAATGTTTCTTTGAACAGTTCTAATCACGACAGTAATGATCTCAGAAGACTTTTCAAAGCTGTCGACTTGTGTGTCTTTGTAGAGACAGAGACAGCGCTGGAATCACCATCAAACATTTTCCATTCCATTTTCTTCCGCTTCATCCGTTGCCGGGTCGCAGGGGGACCAGCAGTCTAAGCAGAGGACTGTTGTTATGTTGAACAGGACAGTATCCAGTATCTAGTTTTGTAATTGGGCGTAAACAAATATTTCACTTCTTCTCGCTCCCTTTCAAAGAGGATTACTTCATTGTAGAAAATATGTAATCTGCATTAGTGTATATTTACTGTAATGTTTAGGATACCACAAGGTTGTGATTAATTTAATTTTTGTTATTGTGTCATGCTCGGAAATAAATGATCAATTCATTCATAACTGAAGGCAGTGGAGACGGCAGCTGGCTACAACCACAGGCCGGACAGAAATATACACGGACAAGGTACACGGACCTGTGACATGGAATTATTATTCCAGGGTTAGGGTTAGGAGAGACGTGATGAACCAGAGTGATGAGAGGACATGGAACAGGTGTTGAGGCCTCACACCTGCTTCAGAGCCACGCCCCCTGCTTCAGAGCCACGCCCCCCGCAGCTGGAGTTTAGCTCATATCTGCATTTACAAAGACAACAGCAAAATATACATAATAATAATAATTATTATTATACTGCATCAGTTTTATACAGAGATGGACACTCTAAGATTATTCACTTTATTATTATTTCACTTCAAACATCAGTGTGCCCTGGAGCAGCGAGGCAACCAGTCTGTGCCATCGGCCCCTCCCACCACCACCAACCCTTCACACACGCACCAGACTCATTCTAATGTGGGGGAAGTGTCTTGCCTAAGGAGACAACCACAGTTTGGCACTTTACATGTCTCAATTCATCACAGAACCAACCATTAAGATCCACAAAATACACAAATGTATTGGTCCAGAGGGAGAGACCAATGTCTGTGAATGTTGATACTTGTCATACATGTTGTAGAATGTTAAAGTGTCCTGGATCATCACAGTCCTTCTTGTTAGACACTAACTGTCCAACAGACTCCTGCATCGGCAAGGAAAAACTCTGAAACTCAGGACTCAGACTGTAGAACGAGGACTGAGGCTGTGGATCCAGAACCAAAGCTACAGAACATGGACCAAGGCCGTAGAACGAAGGCAGGTCCGGTGCAGGACTGAAGCAGCTCCAGGCGGGTCGGGGGTGCAGCCCACGAGGCTGAAACAGGTAAAACAGAAAAGAATTGGTCTCCCCTCACAGTATTAACCATGCCCTGCCCTGCTTAGCTTTCAGCTGTAGGTATGGCTCAGGATCAGGTTGAGACCAGGATCATAGAGAGATTTACATCGCCCAAGCTCGAGGCCTGGCTGGTCGTATCACTGCCGACCCCTCTCCCCTCACCCTGCACATGGACTGTTCCAACACTCCCCTCTCACCTGCACATGGACTGTTCCAACCTCTCCCCTCTCACCTGCACATGGACTGTTCCAACACTCCCCTCTCACCTGCACATGGACTGTTCCAACCTCTCCCCTCTCACCTGCACATGGACTGTTCCAACACTCCCCCTCTCACCTGCACATGGACTGTTCCAACCTCTCCCCTCTCACCTGCACATGGACTGTTCCAACACTCCCCTCTCACCTGCACATGGACTGTTCCAACCTCTCCCCTCTCACCTGCACATGGACTGTTCCAACCTCTCCCCTCTCACCTGCACATGGACTGTTCCAACCACTCCCCTCTCACCTGCACATGGACTGTTCCAACCACTCACCTCGGACAGGAGGCTGCGGTCCATCAGGACCAGAACCTCCCGTCATAAGAACAGTCACTTTACTGCCCTTTATAAGTCACTTTACTGCCCTTTATAAGTCACTTTACTGCCCTTTATAAGTCACTTTACTGCCCTTTATAAGTCACTTTACTGCCCTTTATAAAGTCACTTTACTGCCCTTTATAAGTCACTTACTGCCCTTTATAAGTCACTTACTCCCTTTATAAAGTCACTTTACTGCCCTTTATAAGTCACTTACTGCCCTTTATAAAGTCACTTTATTGCCCTTTATAATTTCACTTTTACTGCCCTTTATAAAGTCACTTTACTGCCCTTTATAAAGTCACTTTACTGCCCTTTATAAAGTCACTTTATTGCCCTTTATAATTTCACTTTACTGCCCTTTATAAAGTCACTTTACTGTCCTTTATAAAGTCACTTTACTGCTGTTATCTTATTGCACTGCCTACTGTATATTGTGTGATTGTAATTTAAATGTAGAAGTGTTGCTGGTTTTTATCATGCCTTTCTATTTATTTATTATTTAAATCTTTAAATTAAAATGCTATTGTGTGTTGACTTCCCGCCCCCTACTTCCTCATACAGACAAACATGGGACCTGAGGCTGTAGCAGCATATTTTCTCCTCTGCTGTTTCCTGGGAGTTAACGGTGAGATTGTATTTATTTGGTCATTTCCATGAGTTTCCTGCTTCAGTGAAACCTGACTGTGCTCCCAACATCCCTGTGTGTGTGTTTGTGTGTGTGTGTGTGTGTGTGTGTGTGTTTAGACAAGTCTCTCCGTGTGCTGCTCTTACCCACTGTGTGTGCACTAACTGTGTGGACTGTTTTGCAAAAGTATATTTACAGATTCAAGATGAATTTATTACGTCTCAGAATAAATGTGTCTTTTACTCACTCAGAGTAAAGTAGAAGTGTCTGAGGTGATGGATAAAAACAAACGTCCTCATGTTCAAAACCATAAACGTGTCCCTGGTGTGACTTCTGGTAGTGTAGAGTACGATGGTAGTTTCCTGTACAGACACTAGTATTGTTGAGACACTGGTCTTTTGCAAAGCTCTGTAAATAACGTGTTTATCTCAAACACATTTATTCTGAGAATGTAAAGCGACCTAAAGCTGGGGTACCTGACTTTTTCATCAGTATTGGTCCCAACACAGAGTCCAGACCTGTACAGGCTGTTTATATTTGACACATGACTCTTCTTCAGATGTTTACGTTCATTATTATTAATGTTTTAACCGTTTTAACCAGAGACATCTGCTCATGTTTTTACAGTCAGAGTCATAAAGAGGCACAGAGCTGAACAAACATCACACTGCAAATATACTACTCTGCTCTGCCCTACCCTACCCTACCCTACTCTACTCGACTCGACTCGACTCGACTCGACCCGACCCGACCCGACCCACCCTACCCTACCCTACCCTACCCTACCCTACCCTACCCACCCGACCCGACCCGACCCGACCCGACCCGACCCGACCCGACCCGACCCGACCCTACCCTACCCTACCCACCCGACTCGACTCGACCCGACCCGACCCGACCCGACCCGACCCTACCCTACCCTACCCGACCCGACCCGACCCGACCCCGACCCGACCCACCCGACCCGACCCGACCCGACCCGACCCGACCCGACCCCGACCCACCCTACCCTACCCTACCCTACCCTACCCTAATCTACTCTACTCTACTCTACTCTACTCTACTCGACCCCGACCCTACCCTACCCTACCCTACCCTACTCTACTCTACCCTACCCCTACCCTACCCTACCCTACCCTACCCTACCCTACCCTACCCTACCCTACTCTACTCTACTCTACCCTACTCTACTCTACTCTACTCTACTCTACTCTCTTGTGTTTCCATTACACTTTAGTCTCTGGTCCTGTATCCTAGAAACCAACCTACACAAAAAATATCTGGGGAATTTCCCTGGTAACCGTGGCTTCCAGCAGCACTCTGGCCAATCACTGTCAGTTAGAACACTTTAGCACCAGCTCGGCCTGGATAGAACCAGGACCAAGAAGGACCTGGTGCTGGTCACACAGGACCATATGTAGTTACAGGAAGCAGCTTCTTCCTCTTCCTCTTCTCTCTCGGGTAAATGTGACTCCAACCACATATAGCAGAGTAGAGCCCAGCCCAGCACAGTAGAGCCCAGCATTGTGGAGTAGAGTAGATTTGTGCTATTTTCATTATTTATTAATTCTTTACACGGTGGTAATAAACTACTGTAGCCACAGCTGCCCTGGGGCACACTGACAGAAGCGAGGCAACCAGTCTGTGCCATCAGCCCCTCCCACCACCACCAACCACTCACACACACACCAGACTCATTCTAATGTGGGGGAAGTGTCTTGCTTAAGGACACAACCACAGTTTGGCCCCACTGTGGCACCATCAGTGAGAGTCAGAGAAAGTCTTGTTGTGGACTCGAACCAACAACCTTCAGGCTCAAAGGCCAATGCTCTACGTCTGAGCCACTGTCGTCCTGAATATCTCTGTGTTGACATTTCCTGCGACTAGAGCAGAAAGAGTTGAGTTCATGAAATTCTCTGGATCCAAATCTGTTTCTGTGGTTTCACCTAAATATAAAAATGTCAAATAAAAGACATTTTCTGACTGTTTTTATCTCATTTATTCACAGGTATCGACTCAGAGAGATTTATCCAGACCAACAAAGACCTCGTCCTCGATATAAAGCCACCAGACAAAAATGACACATTTGACTGGAAATTTAACCCCAGCAAAAATATAGTGAGATTCATACAAAAATATAGTGATGTAAAAATACATGATAATTATAAAGACAGGGTTCAGTTTTTTCCACAAAATTTCTCTCTGGTTCTAAAAAGTGTCCAGCTCAAAGACAGTGGGAGATACACAGCTGTGTCGTCTGGACACAATGTAAACACACTTGCAACATTTGACGTCTCAGTAGAAGGTGAGTTTCATTTACAACCTGCAAAGTCTAAAGTTGGTGTTTTAGGGAATAATGCACCGGCCGAAGCACATACTACATTTATAGATTTAACCTTGAATCTGTCAGTTACAAACACTTGTACACAGACACAGGGAGAACATGCAAACTCCACACAGAAAGGACCCATCTGTCTTTGTTCAGGTTTATTTCCTCTTTTTGTCGTTATCTCAGTTTCTTCATGGACTTTACAAAACCGTCGATTCTCCAACAACAGATCAGAGAATCAAACATTTCAAACACAAGACACAGACACTGGTCCATACCTCAGACTGTAGACCCAGGACTGAGGCTGTAGACCCAGGACTGAGGCTGTAGACCCAGGACTGAGGCTGTAGACCCAGGACTGAGACTGTAGACCCAGGACTGAGGCTGTAGACCCAGGACTGAGGCTGTAGACCCAGGACTGAGGCTGTAGACCCAGGACTGAGGCTGTAGACCCAGGACTGAGGCTGTAGACCCAGGACTGAGGCTGTAGACCCAGGACTGAGACTGTAGACCCAGGACTGAGACTGTAGACCCAGGACTGAGGCTGTAGACCCAGGGTTGAGGCTGTAGACCCAGGACTGAGGCTGTAGACCCAGGATTGAGGCTGTAGACCCAGGACTGAGGCTGTAGACCCAGGACTGAGGCTGTAGACCCAGGATTGAGGCTGTAGACCCAGGACTGAGGCTGTAGACCCAGGACTGAGGCTGTAGACCCAGGACTGAGGCTGTAGACCCAGGATTGAGGCTGTAGACCCAGGACTGAGGCTGTAGACCCAGGACTGAGGCTGTAGACCCAGGACTGAGGCTGTAGATCCAGGACGGAGGCTGTGGGTCCAGGACTGAGGCTGTAGACCCAGGATTGAGGCTGTAGACCCAGGACTGAGGCTGTAGACCCAGAACTGAGGCTGTAGACCCAGGACTGAGGCTGTAGACCCAGGACTGAGGCTGTAGACCCAGGATTGAGGATGTAGACCCAGGACTGAGGCTGTAGACCCAGGACTGAGGCTGTAGATCCAGGACTGAGGCAGCTCCCAGGCGGGGAGAGGGTGCATCCCAGGAGTTCGGGCCCAGCAGGACAGTCTGCAGGTGCAGATGGAGGAGGCCGGGCTCAGGGTCCTATCATCACATCCTGAAACAGAAAGTGGGACAGCGGGTGAATAGCAATGAACAGACTACAGCTGAAGTCATGATGAGGACAGATAAAGAAGACCACAGTGACTCCATATCCAGCCTGACTGACATCACTCTAAGTCTTCTCTGAATGGATTGATAAAGTTCGGACGGCCTCTCTCTCCATTGGCCTCAACACAATCATTACAGAGTTTCTACAGCGTCTGTCTGTGTCTCCCTGAACAGTCTCCTCCAACAGTCTCCAACCGTCTCCTCCAACAGTCTCCTCCAACAGTCTCCTCCAACAGTCTCCTCCAACAGTCTCCAACCGTCTCCTCCAACAGTCTCCTCCAACCGTCTCCTCCAACCGTCTCCTCCAACCGTCTCCTCCAACAGTCTCCAACAGTCACCTCCAACAGTCTCCTCCAACCGTCTCCTCCAAAAGTCTCCTCCAACAGTCTCCTCCAACAGTCTCCTCCAACAGTCTCCTCCAACAGTCTCCTCCAACCGTCTCCTCCAACAGTCTCCTCCAACAGTCTCCTCCAACAGTCTCCTCCAACCGTCTCCTCCAACAGTCTCCAACAGTCACCTCCAACAGTCTCCTCCAACCGTCTCCTCCAAAAGTCTCCTCCAACAGTCTCCTCCAACAGTCTCCTCCAACAGTCTCCTCCAACAGTCTCCTCCAACCGTCTCCTCCAACAGTCTCCTCCAACAGTGACTCCTCCAACAGTCTCCTCCGACAGTCCTCCTCCGACACAGTCTCCTCCAACCGTCTCCTCCAACAGTCTCCAAACAGTCTCCTCCAACAGTCTCCAACAGTCTCCCTGAACAGTCACAGTCTCCTCCAACAGTCTCTCCAACAGTCTCCTCACAGTCTCCAGTCCTCCTCCAACCGTCTCCTCCAACCGTCTCCTCCAACCGTCTCCTCTCCATACAGTCTCCTCCAACCGTCTCCTCCAACCGTCTCCTCCAACAGTCTCCTCCAACAGTCTCCTCCAACAGTCTCCTCCAACAGTCTCCTCCAACCGTCTCCTCCAACCGTCTCCTCCAACAGTCTCCTCCAACAGTCTCCTCCAACAGTCTCCTCCAACCATCTCCTCCAACAGTCTCCTCCAACAGTCTCCTCCAAACAGTCTCCTCCAACTGTCTCCTCCAACAGTCTCCTCCAACCGTCTCCTCCAACAGTCTCCTCCAACTGTCTCCTCCAACAGTCTCCTCCAACAGTCTCCTCCAACAGTCTCCTCCAACCGTCCTCCTCCAACCGTCTCCTCCAACTGTCTCCTCCAACAGTCTCCTCCAACAGTCTCCTCCAACAGTCTCCTCCAACAGGAACCACAGTTTTACAGATGAACCAACAGAAACACGTCACCATCAGTAGAGTTCTGTCAGACACATGAAGTCAGCGGCTCCAGACTCAGAAGGTCCAGCTCTTGGTGCAAGTGCCAGCAGGAGGCTTGGGCCTGTGCGCGGTTATGGTGTTGGGTAATTGGCACGTTGAGGCTGCGCGTCAGCCCACAACCTCATACACGGTGGAGCGGCTGCGAGCGGCTCTCATTACCAAAGCGGCCGCAGTGCCCCGGAACACTGCTGCCGCTTTGTAATGAGGGTGCCGCTCGCAGCCGCTCCCCGTGTTGTGGTTGTGGCTCAGAAGGTAAACGCGCCAGGACATGCTCTTGTACATCTGTGCAAGTGCCAGTCCGCGTCTACCTCTCCTTCAGGAGAACTAATTTTGCACTTGCATTAAAAAGTTCATGTTTGAGCCCTAAAGTATATGTTGTTGAACAGGATTAAACAGATTGAGAGCCAGAAATTGGCTGACAATTATGCATTTCTGTCTTTTTTGACCAAGTCTTCATCACTGTAACAAAACAATAGTATTGTCCGTGTCCACCTCCCTCACTTCTGACACATGTGTATTACTACTCTTGTAATGTAAGACCTATTGTTTTTTTTACATTTTATGATATTGTTGAAACTGCCACATATTCCGAATCCTCTACCAGTATTTGCTTCCACAGTACTGTATAAAACTAGGTTCGGCAAACCTGCGGGCTCTGGAGGCGCATGGGTCTCTTTCCTTCTATTGAAGGAAATAATCCGTTCTAACGTTTTTTTATTAAGTGCGTAAAATTGTGCATTTAGTAATATTCAATGTTAACATTTCTGTCAAGTAGTGTGGCTTATCTGCGACGTACAGTAGGCCCCACCAGGCGGCTGCTGTTCTGTAACTTGCTGTAGTAATGTGCTAAACTGGCGTCTGTGGAGCATCATAGACTGTGCGCATGGAATTCCCAAAGCTAAAAAGAGAATGAGTCGATAAATAAGACTGGAGTACGAATGAAAAACTTTATATTTGCTTTCAGTCAATGAGGAAGGGGACTTTTTTTTAAAAACTTCCTGTTTGCGAGGGTAATGAGATGTTTCTATGAATAATTGTATCTGTGTTAGTAACTACAAAATGGGCCCGCTCCAGGGGTGGAGTTGTACCTGTTGTCACCTGATGGGGGGGGCGCGTGGTCAAAAGCGCTCATTTGCATTTAAAGAGACAGCACCTATACAGGTTGCTCTCAGGACGCACCTCAGAAAACATAGTGTAGAAGAAAGGCCGTGGAGCTAAAATAATGAGGACTCAGACCCAGGAATTGCATATAGGGCCACAAATTATTGATTTTAGATGTAAAAATCAATTATTTGAAAACGATCTATTCACTTTAAGAGCCGTCCTATACAAAAAATTTCCTTCTGCCCCTTTCACAAGTCCTCAACTTATCGCTTAATTTCAAGTCACGGCTGATTGTTGCACCACCATGTGCTTTGTCTCACTTGAGGAAGGAGATGTTTGTTGTGGCCCTCAAATCAATGTCATTGTCCATCTATTGTTTTTATCAGTCGCTTTAGCCAAAGCACAAATCATACTCGTCTTTGGAGGGTTGATTTTATACCCAGGTACCTTGGAGTAGACCTTCCACCCGGGAGGCTAGGAGTGTGATACCCGATAATTGGAACACACCCTCGGTCCCCCTCTTGTAGAGAGGGGGACTACACCCGGTTCTTGCCACTCATTGGCAAGGACTGGTCCTACATCAGGCAGATAGAAAACTTTGTGGAGGTGGATGTCTTCCTTCCCCCGCCAAATTATCGCGAGTCAAGGTCCGCACCCACCACTCGTACACAATAATGTTGGCTTCCCCTCCTGAGCGCCAGACGGTTTGCCGATTCTTTTCGAGGCCGACGATAGTCATGGCTCCTTAGACTCTTCGAATTCCTCCCAGTCCTGGGTTTTTTTGCGTGTGCAACAGCCGGGCTGCGGCACCTTGGCCGGGCGGTATGGACAGCTGCCTCAGGAGTCCCAGAGAGAGAACCTCTATGGCTCGATAGGACTCCTTCAGGCCTGGACGGGCATCCCTTCTACCGGTGCCCACACGGGTTGGATTTTGTCGCCGAGGACCAGCCAACAGTGACATTGCGGGGGGGGGGGTTAACCACAGATACGAGCCACCGCATCGGGTATAGAGTGGAAAAACATGGGACATGGTCCACTCGGATGGATCGATGTCCCCCTCCTCCACGGGGACCTGGAAGAAACTCTCCGGGGACCAATGTCCATAAATGTTAATTAAATGTTTTTGATTGTCAAAAACATTGATTTAGAGTCTTATAGGTCCAGGCAGGGAATATATGTGAAAATACCAAGTCACCTTGATCCGCCCTAAACCACTAACCACTGACCTGGAGACCTCCTGTAACCATGCATTTATGTATATGGTACCCAATGGAGCCCAGGAGATGTGTTTTCTCCTAATCTGTGGCCTTCTCTCATTGACGTTGGGAAATACTGTAGCAGCTCAAAAAAAGGCATTAAAAGTAACCAGTCGTCATTACCACATTTAATTGGCTCAAAATCCATTATCAGCCCTATTCCTCCTCCCCACGGGGCCCTGAGCTGGACAGCCTGGCTGCTCCGAGACAGAGGAAATGAAATAACAAAGCACCACCAGAGGACACTGCTATAAAGACGCTTGGGCTTCTCCATATTTAAATTTCTATTGAACCATGAGATTTTGTGTTGATTATAAACATAGGCATAAATCTGATGCCGCCTGCTCCACTGCGAGAAGGAGGACAAGTTGAGATAGTCAGGCTACCGAGAGCAATGAGGACGGGCTGTAAATGTTAGGAAGCCTTCAAATTTAGGATTAGGGTTCTATCTTACAGTGTTGCCCCCTAACATTATTGTCTTTGGGGCCATCACCTAAAGCCCCATTGGATACACAAGATTCAGATTCGTTTATTTGCCCGGTAGCAGTAAAACCACCGTTGGAATACATGTGCAAGAATCCCCAGTGTGCACCAGACAAGTACATAAATATTAAACAAGCTCAAAAAAGAAGTACAGAAGGAAGTAAAGAAAAAAATCATAACTGTGAAACTAAGATCAAAAAATACACCAATTACCATGAGATCATTATAGTGCTGTTGCTCAGACTGATAACAACTGATTGAAGTGGGTCTCTCTTGGTCCTCTCTTCTGGTCCACTCTGGTCTTCTCTCTGTCTCCTAAAGGCCTAGGTGTATTACTTGCGGACGGCGGGCTTACGGTTAGACGGTTGCGGTGGACCTACGGTGAAGCACAATTGATGTTATACTTGGCGCGTTCCATTCGGGAAGTTTTGAGGAGATATGTTGTGTTATGAATCCCACAACAAACCACATGAGGGCGCGGAGATCACAATGGACGCGGTCCAGTTACGCTGCTACTTTGTCCTCTCGAACAACCAATAGCTAACAAAAGCTGTTTGAGTCATTACACGTGTTTCGTACTGTAGTTTATGTGTCGTTGTATGGATTCCATTATTTTATAAGTCTTTCAACTGTGAAGCTGTGAATAAAGACACAGTCTTGTTGGAAGGAATCATAGTTATTATTAAATAGTTTTCAGACACAAACAGCAAAACTATTAATAGTGGTAATATCTGGGACAAACATGAACTGATTTTTACGAGTGCAAGGGGAAAGCAACAAACGCCCAGCAACGATTCAAACAAGGACAGGAACTGTGCAAAAACAAACGACCTGCTCAGTTTTTAAGCGGATATATTGGTTTAGGATAGTTCCACAGTTTCCTGTATATCCAGGCTGGTGTGCCAATAATGCTTTTCCTTCTAGCACAAAGCTTCTGCTCATAGTGCCTGTCCTTGGTCCCTGCTGCAGCCGCTCCGTTGCTTTCCTGTTCCAATACACTCAAGTACGGGGACCACTCAATCCAATCCAATCCAATCCATCTTTTTTATATTGCACAGTTAAACAACAAAACGTTTCCAAAGTGCTGAACTACAATAACAATTATAAACTAAAAAAATACAAATGTGTTCCACTAATAAATAGAAATCAGCGGGAGCATCCTGACGGCGCCCATTATTAGTTAGGAAAATTCGAGGGCAGTGCGGTGTCCAACGCGTTGCGCAAGTGACGTCACGTCACTCCGTAAGCTCCGCGCGCGGGCGAGTAATAAATATAGGCTTTATGTGTTTGTATTTTTTTTTCTCCGGAAAGGCTCTTAACAAAAAAACACACCTTCTTTCAAAGTGAAAACACTTGCCCTGTACTTTTATATTCATTTTCTTATGGCTCTGTGTGGCCTGTTCTTAATAATAATAAAATATATCCTGGGGGTAAAAGATAATTTCTTTTTGGGTGCCGGCCCCGTATACCTGGCCCCGGGCCTTGACTTTGACACCAAATGCCATTGAGAGAAGAGACCATGTCTCTACGGTCTCTCTCTGATCTCTTGTTAGACTTTATATACTGCATTTGGAAAAGGAAGCTGGTTCTCTCTGGTCTTTCTCTCTCTTGGTCTTCTTTGGGTCTTTCTCTGGTCTCGTTATTGGTCTCTCTTTGGTCTCTAATCTCTCTCTGGACTCCACTGGGCTCTCTCTGGGCCTCTCTCCTTTTCTCACTCAAGTTTCTTTCTTTCTGCTTTTCACCGCTTTCTGTTTCTCGCTATTCTCGCTCGGGTATCTCGCTCTCTCTCTGCTCTCTCTGGTCTCTCTCTCTGGTCACTCTGGTCTTCTGTGCTCTCGCTCGCATGTTCTCTCTGTTTCTCTTTCTCTCTCTGGTCGCTCTCTCTCTCTGATCTCTCTCCGGGATCTCCTTTTTTTCTCGTGAGGTTGTCGAACCAACAGTCACATAAAATCTAACAAAGAAATAGGAAACTTTTGATGGGGGCAGCAATAAGGTTCCAGCAGAGCAGAGTTTGTGCTTACATCAATAAGAACAACTTTATTGGTGAGTTTCATACTGTATAGTTTTTATAAGGATTGTGTGAACCTTATCGTCGAATTGTGACATTAAATGTATTGTTTGTTTGTTACAATAAAAACATTTAAAAAAGCAGTTG